ATGCCTTGGCACTCTACCCAGGGGCATAGCTTGAGGCTCTGTCTCAAAAAAAAAAAAAAATGAAAGAAAGATAGATCACGGATCAATTTTGTCTCTGTGCTGAGCTCAGCAGTATAACCTTGCCCAGAGGCCTGGATAGGAACATGTTCTGGCCCTGCCACCCCTCAGAGATGTCCTTTTCAGATCAGTTCCACCCCCCCCCCCCCCCCCCACCCCAGCAAAAGCCTGGAACTGCCCTTTTGGAGAAAGTGAGATTAGGATCGCTGGCTCACAGATCATCTTCTTGAGGACATAAGGCTGGCTCAGGGCTCAGGAATAAACCTTTTTGACCTCAGTGGGATCTGGCTGTGAGAGAATCCCAAAATAACGATCTGAGTGTTTATCTTGGGCTGCCTTCTCTCCAGGGATCTCAAAACACTTGATAAATCTGATCCAGTGCCGAGGACAGGTGGTCAGACAGTCCCTGGGGGACTGAGTGATGATAGGTCCCCGCTGGAGACTCCAGGATGATGGAAAATTTTTTTCTTCTGCCACCCTCATCACATACACCCTCACCAGAAACTACAAAGATTCCCTCAGGCCACACCAGTGCTGCTCTTAACTCTTTGCTGGCCTGCTGGGCTTTGGTTCCTTCTCCCTGGGGCTGTCCCCAGCCAGTAGTTCCCTTTTTGACATACATCTCTGGTTGTGACAAGACTTACTTGCCTTTTTCCTAGGGTTTATGCTCTCATTTTATTCTTGGAGGCTCTCTGGATGCAAATGCAAGCTTTAGTCACTCTGGAGTTTTTAAATAGGTCTGCAAATCCAGAGTGGAGTGAGCCAGAAAGTATATACACCCATGGGCCCCAGGTGACGGATGTGACTGGAGTCCAAGCCCCCAGTAAGATGTTGGCAGTGCCCCTTCCTGTTCAGTGACCTGTATCCCTTTCCATTTAAGGAGAAGAACCAAATATTTTACACTTACATCGGCCTGTGACATTTTGGGGACATGACTTCACTGAGATATGGTGGAGACAGCAAGAGCCTTCTCTTTTCCACTTGAATTAGGGACTTGATTTTTTTGGTGTCATTCATACAGTGACCTGAATTTCTAAAAATGGTGGGATCCACAGTTCCCCTATTTCTATAAAATCACTCTAAAATAATAGCTAACTTTGTCAAGTGCCTACTAATTGCCGGATATAGCATGAGGTAGTTCAGACCCTTGAACCTCCTTCATGATAGCCTCATGTTACAGATGAGGAAACTCAAGCTAAGAAGAAAGTGACTTGACCACAGCCATACAGTTAGGCTAGGCACTGGTGGAGTAAAAACAAGCCTCTGGGTCTGTGTGATCCCAAGTCAGTGCTTTTCTCTCTATCCTTTGATGTTAGTCACCACCAGCTTTCTACATATCTACTCATGGTGCCTCTCCCTTGTTTCCCAGAGCTGTCTGGAGCCTAAGGCTGCCCACCTTATATCTCTTGCCACTGCCCTTGGCCTGTGTACGTGCTCTGCGCTGATTCTCTGCCTAGGAAAGGACCATGCAGCTGGAGATCAAAGTGGCCCTGAACTTCATCATCTCCTACTTGTACAACAAGCTGCCCCGGCGCCGGGCAGACCTGTTTGGGGAGGAGCTAGAGCGGCTTTTGAAAAAGAAATATGAAGGTCACTGGTACCCTGACAAGCCACTGAAGGGCTCTGGCTTCCGCTGTGTCCACATTGGGGAGATGGTGGACCCTGTGGTAGAGCTGGCTGCCAAGCGGAGTGGCCTGGCGGTGGAAGATGTGCGGGCCAATGTACCTGAGGAGCTGAGTGTCTGGATTGACCCTTTCGAGGTGTCCTACCAGATTGGTGAGAAGGGGGCTGTCAAAGTGCTCTACTTGGATGATAGTGAGGGCTGTGGTATCCCAGAGCTGGACAAAGAGATCAAGAGCAGCTTCAACCCTGATGCCCAGGTGTTTGTGCCCATCGGCAGCCAGGACAGCTCCTTGTCAAACTCCCCGTCGCCATCCTTTGGCCAATCGCCCAGCCCCACCTTCATCCCCCGTTCTGCCCAGCCCATCACCTTCACCACCGCCTCCTTTGCTGCCACCAAATTTGGTTCCACCAAGATGAAGAAGGGTGGCGGGGCAGCAGGTGGGGGGGGCGTGGCCAGCAGTGGAGCAAGTGGCCAACAGCCTCAGCAGCAGCCTCGCCTAGCTCGGTCGCCCACCAGCAACCTACTGAAGCACAAGAGCCTCTCTTTGTCTATGCATTCACTGAACTTCATCACAGCCAGCCCGGCCCCTCAGTCCCAGCTCTCACCCAATGCCAAGGAGTTCGTGTACAATGGTGGTGGCTCGCCTAGCCTATTCTTTGATGGAGCAGATGGCCAGGGCAGCAGCACCCCGGCCCCTTTTGGGGGCAGTGGGGCTGGCACCTGCAACAGCAGCAGCTTTGACATGGCCCAGGTATTTGGAGGTGGTGCCAACAGCCTCTTCCTGGAGAAGACGCCTTTTGTGGAAGGCCTCAGCTACAACCTCAACACCATGCAGTATCCCAGCCAGCCCTTCCAGCCCGTCGTGCTGGCCAACTGATCATCCTCACACCTGTGGGGCCAGGAGCACCCAAAACCACAGAAAAGAGAAAAAGGAAAGGCCAAAAAAAAGAGGAAAAGAAAAATATACAAAAAGATTTCCAATCTTCTCACTCTCACTTCTAGAAAAAGATCCAGCTTGGGCATGGAATGGAAGGGGGCTCCCGAAGCACCATACCGTGTTTAACTCACCACCCCCGACTGTTTGCCTGCTGCCTCTGATTTATTTGGTTGGTTTGGGTTTTATATATTTTTTTTCTTACATGTAGTTTTCTATATAACATCTTTAATTAGTGGCTTCCTGTGCTAAGAATGGTCCAGATGTGAATTGCTGCTCCCTGTTCCTCCCTCCTTCACACTCCTGGTTTAGGATCGGTGTGTCCGCGCTCACAGGGAAGGAAGAGCTGCAGCTGGAGCCTGGCCCTCCCTGGAATGGGAAGAGGTCGGCCCGTGTCCCTGCCTCTGTCACCCACCTACCCTCGCATTCAAAGCCATCCAACCTCAGCAGGCCTTCTCAGGTCCTGCCACCCAGTAGGTCCGACCCTAGCCCCTACTCCCTTTCAGGCTGGGCCCCGGGGAGCTGCTGGCTGGCCACTCAACACCCTCCCCCTGGAGCTGATGTCTCTGACTACAGGGAGGTTAGCACTTTGTCTAGTTGAATTCCTTTCATCTCTGTCCTGTGGCTCTATGCTCCCCTCCCCTCCCCTCCTGGACCATCATCGTGGCCTTGGGGACTTGGCTTTTGATATGTGTAGCCTCTTGCTCTCATGCAGCCTCTTCTTCCCTGGGCCTGGGGCTGTGAGTAAGGACAGAGTGGGGGGGGGGGTGGTAGTGGGTGTATGTGCACTTGGGTGCATGTGTGGTTTGCTGTCCTCTTTAAAGGTTTCCAAGCCATGTGAAACTTTTCCTCTGGATTTGATTCTGGGCTACAGCAAGTGCTTATTTATGTGTGAGGCTGGGGAATGGGTCACAAGTGGTCGTCAGTCCTTTGTAGGGCAGAACATGTGGGTGACGCTGTAGCTGAGCCTGATACTCCCAGGGGAAAGCACTGCAGAAGGAACTGGTTTCCACACTGCAGAGGGCTTGGCACTTTTGGGGGTTTTTTGACCAAAAAAAAAGGTTCACTCTGGAAGGCAGAGGGAATACCCAAGCCTCTTATGCCTAAGAAAAGTCCCTGGACTCACACCTTCCTGTTGTGTGACCTTAGCCCGGGGGTGGGGGAACTGCTCACCCAAGCACCCTTGGGGCTGCAGGGAGGTAGGTAGGAATTTGGAGATAGTGCCTGTAGTGGGCAGTACTGAGCCTTGAATTGTGACCTTTTGGTATTTGGGTTGTAGATGTTATTTTAGTACCTATGAGCCCCTGCCTGATTGAGAGCTTGGTACCTCTTGCCATCCCTCTCACTGCACTGACCCAACCCACTGGACCTTGATGCTGTAAGGAGTTGTGTCCTAGGCTGGCCAGGCTGGCCAGCCACTTGGCAAGCCCAGCTGATACGTCTGGACATAAAAGAGCACTGCTCCTCTGCCTCTGCTTGCAGAGAGGTGGCTTCTCCAGCCCTGGGAGGCAGCTTCCATGCCATGATGCTTTGGCAAGCAGGGCACTGGGCATCAGGGTCCCACCACCAGAAAGCACCAAAGCCCCTGGTCCTTCACCCACTGCATCCTCCCCTGGGACCCCAATGAGCAACTGCTGTGGCAGTGGATCCGGCCCAGACAGACACTGCCAACTTCCTCTCCCTGCAGTGGGCATCAGCTCTACCTCCCCCAGTGGGCAGTGCCCTGGCTTCTTGGCCTAGCATCATCTATCCCTCTAGACTTCTCAGGGGCCAGCCCAATCTGGGCCACCCTCTTCCTCATCCTCAGCTCCCACATAGGTGACAGGCCCAGGCAGATGGCTTCTCACTGGGAAAGGTTGGATGCCGCCTTACCCCTTCTAGGCCTTTGTCCCACTCACACAGGTACCCACCCACACCCAGGTCACTTGTTCTCACAACACATAGGGAAGGGGGGAGACCAACCCCTTTGTGTCTTTTGAAATACGAAGAAAAATGTGTGTTCAGGAGCATGACTCCAGTGCTGGGCTCGTGGGCCCAGATCAGTCTGTCTTGTCTCAGATCTAAGCATTTTTGCTTCAATTTTATTTTTTTTAAGAAAACAAAAACAAATCTGCACTAACTTAACCTGTTTTCGTAGGAAAACCTTTTTTCTTTATTTTTTACATTTTTTGGTGTCCGTTTGTATTAAATAATTTGCTACATTTGTAAAATGTAAGAGGTATATATAATATATGTATATTTCTAACGTAAAAATCGTAATTTTCTTTTCAGGATTTTTTCTTAAAAAGAGGAAAGAAACATATTTTTTCAGGAAAAACAAACTTTAAAATAAAAAAAAGGAGAATAAAACCTTTCTCCCTTTCCCCATCCTCTCTCTCTATCCCTCTTTCCCAGGAACAAATCAAGAGGTGGATTATTGTAAAGAATGTAAACCGTAGGCCCAGGTGATGTCCTTTTCTCAAGGCAGTGAGCTACAGACGATTTTCTCCCTAGGGATGGGAAGGGGGCATTGAGGCAAACAGGGAGAGGAGCCGGGAGAGCAGGGTAGTGAACTTTTTCTTTAGTGAAGGAGGGATACAATCAAGCATTTTGTATTCAGAATGTTGTGCAATATTTTGGAATGGGACATTAGTGTGTTTAGAGATTTTAGTTTAAAAACAAAACAAAAAGATTGATCAAATCTGTACAGTTTATATTGTTCCAGATTTTTTTAAGTTTGTATTAAAAGCATGATATATAATAATCTTCTGCCTGCTCCTGGCTTGTTTTATCTGTGGGGTCCCTTTGGGATAGGGAGAAGGGGAGTGGCCCATCCCTTGCAGGCTTTAAGAAATCCACCCCCACCGTTTGGTGACGGAGCCTTGGACAGACATAATTGTTCTGGTGCCCCCTTTTTCACCAACTATCTATCCCATCAACACAAGACACTTTTCTACACTAGAAACAGATTTCATGAGGTTAGGAACTACTTGCCCCGGTTCTCTTGGTGAGTAGGTGGTAGAGCCAGTGATGGTGAACCCCTTCAGGAAGGCTAGCTAGTCATACCTAGCCTATGCCTTGGAGGATGGAAGGGTCGGCCTCCAGCTGCTGTCGGTGTAGTACTTGCCCACCCCAAACCTAGACATGGCCACACTAATGTCCCATTCCTGTTTGGCTGGAAGTGGCCTTGTGTCTGGTGGAATGGTCATCCTGGACCCTGGGGCTTCCCTCTACTCAACAGGTTCTGTGGAGGCCAAGTGGCCTATGCAGAAGTTTGGGACATCAGGACACCTGGGAGGCTGGATGTTTGACCTTAGGGCTTCTCAACCCAGTACTTGGTGGGGAGGGCTCAGTATTGGCCTATTTGGGGAATAAGAGGCCTGAAGAGACCCCCCCACCCACTTCACCAATGCCACAGAAGAGCTCCTTGCCCCCTACCTCAGTGAAGAGGTATAACATCTTGGGCTCTGCTGACTCATGCCTGTAATCCTAGCACTTTGGGAGGCTGAGGCGAGTGCATTGCTTGAGCTCAGGAGTTCCAGACCAGCCAGAGCAAGAGAGAGACCCCATCTCTACTAAAAAAAGAAAAATTAGCCGGACATGGTGGCAGGCGCCTGTAGTCCCAGCTACTCAGGAGGCTGAGGCAAGAGAATTGCCTGAGCCCAAGAGTTAGAGGTTGCTGTGAGCTGTGACACTATAGCACTCTACACAGGTTGACAGGGAGACTGTCTTTAAAAAAGGGGGGGGGGTAGTGCCCATAGCTCAGTGGGTAGGACACCGGCCACAGAGGCTGGCAGGTTCAAACCTGGCCCGGGCTAGCCAAAATCAATGACAACTGCAACAAAAAAATAAGGCGTTGTGGCAGACACCTGTAGTCCCAGCTACCAGGGAGACTGAGGCAAGAGAATCACTTGAGCCCAAGAGTTTGAAGCTGCTGGTGAGCTGTGACACCATGGCACTCTACCAAGGGCGACATAGTGACAGAATCTGCTTCAAAAAAAAAAAGGGTGGCAGGCCTGGCATGGTGGCTCACACCTGTAATCCTAACACTCTCGGAGGCTGAGGCAGGTGGATTGCCTGAGCTCAGGTTTCGAAACCAGCCTGAGCCAGAGTGAGACCTTGTCTGTGTAAAAACAGCTGGGCGTTGTAGAGGGTACCTGTAGTCCCAGCTACTCAGGAGGCTGAGGCAAGAGAATTGTTTGAGCCCAAGAGTTTGAGGTTGCTGTGAGTTGTGATGTGCCACAGCACTCTACCAAGGGTCACAAAGTGAGACTCTGTCTCAAAAAAAAGCGTAGCAGCAGAGGTGACTGTGGAGCATAGGGCAAGGGTAGCTCACTCACTCATTTCTATTTATATTAATATAAACACAGGTTCTGATACAGCAGGTGCCCACTGTCCTGCTCTCACTCTGTCATCTCACAGACAGGAGAAGGGCCTGGGGGAAACCCACCTTGTGCTGAGACTTCTTTTCCCAGCCATTTCCTCCAGATGAAGATATGGACATTCCAGATTTAAGCAATCCCCTAAACAAAGCCACACTTAAGGACCTAGAAGGCCACATGTGACATTCAGGTCGCAGATTCCTTGCCCCTGATATAGACACAGAAATGATTCAGTCATACATTGAAGCCTCTATTTCTTCAAACACTCACTGGCTCTGAAGAGAAACAGTGGGAGACCTGAAGGGTAAAGGGCTGCCTGAGGCCCCTGGCCTATAGTAGGGAAAGAGAATAGTCTGGTTATCTCAGAGTTCCCTCCAAAAAAGGCTCATTTATTCAGTTGACACCGTTTCAGGACAAATATGCACAGAAGACCTGGTACCCGAAATTCAAGAAGGCTTCCTGGAGGAGGTGAAGAAGGTGCAACTCAGCCCAATGGGAGAAAAGCAAGGCCCCACCTCCTCCCCAGGGAGCACCTGCCTGGCAGGGAAGGGTATGGACTCTGCTCCTTAGAAGTGCAAGTTCTGGAGTGCCACCTGGGCTTAGTGAGTAGGGCGCCAGCCCCATGTACCAAGGGTGGCAGGTTCAAGCCCAGG